CCCCCGCCACGAAGAGCAGCAGCAGCAGCAACAACAACAATGGTGTGAATGAGGCGTATGAGTTGGCGACGCGCCTGTTCGCCCCGTCGCCTGCAGGCGCCGTTGCCGGGACGGCGGGGGCGGCCATGTCACGTGCCACCCGACGCGAGCTTCGCGCTGGTAGCAATGACTTCAGCGGCCGACAGGCGGAGCCAGAAGCCGATCCAACGGGCGGTGCAGAGGAAGAGTGGGGTCTGCGGCAGGGTACGACACCGCCGCGGGGGGGGCGGCGCGAGAAGCAGCCGAAGCAGCGGCCCGCATGGAACTTCGACGTGGGTCTTGTGAACAACGAGGATGGCAACGATGATGATTATGCAGGAGCGATCCCGTCCCGCCAGCAGCAGCAGCACGCGCCGCCGAAGCGTCCACCCTCGCGGCAGCAGTCAAGCGCAGGTGGCGGGGCGGCGCCGTCACGTGGCAACGTGCAACCGCAGTGGGATGACACCCCTGTTGGTGTTGGTGGTGGTGGTGGTGGTGGTATGCCAGCGGCACTGTCGATGCAGTCACAACCACGAAAACAGCAGCAGCACATCTCCAGCGCGAAGGCTGGTGCCAACAAAAAGAAAACCAATGCCGCGCCACAGCAACAACACAATACTATGGGCAGCGCCATCCCCCTTGATGACGTTGTTGTTGGTGGTGGTGGCAGCAGTGCGCCGAACGCCTTTGCTGTACCACCACCAGTGAATGAGCCGCTGGTTCCATGTGGCCTCTGTGGTCGCAGCTTCCGCGCGTCCATCTTGGCACGTCACGAGGCCGCGTGTGGCAAGGCGCAGAAGAAGCGGCGCGCCTTTGACACGAAGGGGCAGCGGCTAGACGGCATTGAGGGTATCAAGGAGGTTATCGCCACCGCCGCCCCACAGCGCACCGGCAAGAAGACCGCATATACCGCTGGCAGTGGTGGTGCTGCTGCTGCTGCCAATGCCGGCAAGCTGCCCAAGTGGAAGATGCAGCATGAGCAGTTCCAGGCTGCGATGCGTGCGATGCGGCAGATGGGCAACGACACCACCGCAGGCGGCGGTGGCAGTAACGTTGTCATGGGCGGTGGAAGGAAGATGGGCGAGCAGCAGCAGCAGCAGCAGCAGC